TCGTATATATACATATATATTATTCATACCTTCGGTACCTTGATTTACAAACATAGTGTTTGTTTTTATGTTGATCATATTAAATTTCTTTTAGGTTTATAAAAAATGTATGACTACTATAAATAGTATTCCCTAGAAATACAAGTTTTTAAACTCTGAAAAGAAAAAAAAGAGAATGTATTTAAATTTTGTCCAAATGTTTGAAATTTTATTAACAGAGTTCCTGCGGTCCTGGAAATCCTTGGAAAGTTTTTAAATTTTTAACATCATTTCCACACCTGGAAATATAGGAAAGTCTGAAAGGTTTTGGAAAAGTTTTGAAATTTAGACAACAGGCTGACCTAAAAATGTTAATGAAGTTTAAATATAAGTAAACAGTTTGAAAACATCAATTATCAATTCAGTGGAATGTTTTGCAATGTGCCATGTGTACATGTTATTATCAGATATGCTGTGCATGCCCAAGAACATGGTCACTATATTTTAACCAAACTGTTGATACCATGACTTAACCATGTAAGTAGCTGGTTTTTGTTGTTGTTTTTTGTAAATACTTTGTTGAACATAGCAAGTTTGGCTATAAGATAATAGAAATATTAATATTTGTATTAACCCTCTCTCCCTGGACATCTTTTTCTGCATGTCATGAGGTTTTAATGAGTTACATTTAAAATATAATTAAGCTACTTTGGTATACCAATAAATATAGCATAAAATAGTATGTCAATAGTATACAAGTTTTAGGTTCTTAATTTTATAAGGCAATATTAAAAAAAACTAGAATTTCCCCTAGTGTGGGAATAGTTACATTTGCTTTGTAGGCATCCTCTCTTTAATTTATTTACCACCCCTCCAAGAAGTATGAAATTTAATATAAATTACTTATTCCAAAACATACATACCTCTGCTATTTCTTGATTTTCGTCTTTGCCATCTAATGTTGTTTGCTTACTCCAGTCTTTATATACCCCACTGTCAGTTTCACTTTCAGTTCAAACATGATTTAGCCCCCCCAGTGACACAGGGGTATGTCTGTGGTCTTACAATGCTAGAAACCGGGTTTCGATACCTGTGGTGGGCAGAGCACAGATAGCCCATTGTGTAGCTTTGTGCTTAATTACAAACAAAACAAACATGATTCCCATGAGAAACATTTATGAGTTTAGATGAAGTTTTAACGGCTCTTGTCACATAGTTAGAAAGCCAAAAAATTGTGATAGTTATGGGACATTGTTTGCTTTTCCATGTTATTATTCTGTGTTCTTTCATGCGTAATTTAATTAAATAAAATATAATTTATGCAGTACTGCCATTAGTATAAAAAAATGTAGGGTTAAGTGTCATTGACAGTTGACAGCAAAAAAAAATAACCAGATAAGTATTTTTTTTCTTGTTTTTCATTGTGCTATTTATTATAAAAGTAACTAAAATGTAAAAATATGAAAGTGTTTATGTTAGTTAAGATTAGACTAACTGAAATAAATAATAATACAATAAAATGTTTCCAAGAGGTTCAAAAAGTAACAAACCACTAAAATTTAAGTATAAATGGATGTATACCGTTATGAGTGTCAAATTATTTAGGATAAACATACCCTAAATTACCATAAAATTTACATTTATTTCAATTTTGTTTTTGGCTAGTAAAAATTTAACAAGCTTGTATAAAGTTAGAAAGAGAAAATAACAGATAAAATATAAAGTTTTACTGAAAAAAACGTTTGAAATTTATTTAGTAGGTTTTAGAGATAACGCAAATCAAATTTGAGATTTTTGAGATGAAGAAAAGTATTTTAATCTTAACTTGGAAATCATTTAGCACTTGTACTATTCTATATAAATACCATATATATTCACGGACAATTCCTTAGTAAAAATACTTCATTAAAAATCTGATTTTCTCTGTACAAAAGACTTATAATGTTTGCTAAAAGTCTATCAAGTTTTGTTAAGGTACACAAAGTGAATTAAAAGTTATAGTATGTAAACTATAATGAATACAAAATGGGTATGAGATCGTTCAATTCTATCGACTTTGTAGCTAGAGGGATAAGAGGTTATAGTTTTTTATAATATATTATATTCTATAGGGCTAGATGCATAGGCTAGATCTTAAATCATTCCTATAGATTGGACACTAACACAACTATTGTTAGAATCTATTGTTTAGTGTTAGTACCAAGGCTTAATGTGCTATCTAAATTCTAGATCTGGATCTATGTTATAACATAGTATATAATTGTTAAATTGATATGACTATAGGCATCTAATTAAGTCTCCACATGTAGATATAGGATTAACATTTACCTCTAAAGGCCTAATTGGCTAATGGAAGTCCTAGGTATAATTGTTTATGCATGTGGTGTAAGAAGCAGATTGAGTTATACATGTAATAGTTAGATCTAATGTTAGATATATTTTTTAAAAAATTAAACAGAAGTCGTATTCAATATTAGATCTAAAGGTTTATTAATGTCACTTATTTTCAATGAAATCAGTCTGTTTTCATGTAGGCTATTTTGTGTCGCTAAGCATATGTCTAAATAATAAATGTGAAGAAATTTTACTTGGACTTGATGTCTTCACGCAGTTGTATTTGCAAGATTCAGATATAGATCTAAGGATGAATTGTGTCTTTTACATTAATTCTCTATCTGTTGTTGCTCACATACTGGAATTGTGTTTGTTATCCCAAAGTGTAGGTCTAACTTGTGCTAATGTTACATTTCATTCGACTTCTTATATGTTTTTGCCAGTTATGAAAAGAAAGCAATAAATTTGCATTCAATGTTTGTTAAAGTAATATAATATGTTATAAATCACATGAATAACTTTTTTCATTTAATCTTTTATTAGGGCTACAGTATAACAAAAATCATCCCTAAATTTATGGGATGTCAAAAATATGCCAGCATCTTCGTATATTACAAAATCAAGTTTTTGATCACCAGCATATGCATGACATACACATCATGTTATATAGACAGTAACTGAATAAATCTATTTGGCTGTGTTTGTATTGCTGCATTGAGACCTGCAATTAGCAAAATAATTCAAAAAAAAATGCAAGGCCTAACAGTGTATTGGATATCCAGTGCTACCAAACCAAGTATGGACCATCATGTACAATATCAGTCTAAAGGTAACTTTATTCATGCTAGACTTGCATCTATAAATTCAATAGAAACCTTATGATAAAAATTTTGTAATAAATTCTACCAAATTTAAAAGTTAACAGCTTTACATAATAATTTAATACATTTCAGTATTGAACATATTTTTTAAAAACCAGTACAAAATAATCAAATGAACATTGTTGGTATTGTGAATTTAATTTTTATTTTCATATCCTTACAGGTTTGCAAAATGCCAGGCCAGTGTGGTTTTAAAACAAGCTAATGTTTTCAAATCAAAACTAACAGGAATGATTAGAAAGATATATTCACACCTTAGAAAAGCAAGATGTAAACCATGCTTAGTTCCTTTGACATCAGCAACATGGGAGAAGCATCTTTGTCAAACTACTCGCACGGAAACTGCATCTTAAAAACCAAACTACCACTGTGACTACCACCAGTTCAACTTCCAGCATTTAGTCATTTATTTCTTTTACTGATGTTTTAAGATCAGAAGCTTTATAGACTTAGAAAACTATTGACTGTCTTGGTTCATTTCATTCAAATAAAAGGATCACAGTACTTTTCAAGAGTATGTTCCCCAACATTGAAATTGCCCAAACCTTTTTATGCAGGGAGACAAAAAAAAATCATATTTAGTCATACATGGATTAGCTCTGTATTTCATTTTGAAACAGAAGCAGAAAATCCAGAAGTCTGATGGGAATATTGTTTGTTTGTAGAAGTTTGGACAAGATCCCTAAAGATGAAACAGTGTGACATTCATGCTCTCTTTTGGGATGAAAAAACTCTACATCAACTCAGAGTTCTTAGAACATGCGACTGCCACTGATATATTTGACAAGCTGTTCTCTGTTGTCACAGGCCTTGGTTCCATGAATGTATTGCAGATATCCATGAATGACCATAATGTTAATTGGAAATTAAATGAAGTGTTATCAACTGAAGCTAACAAACTCAATCCAAAAAAAAACCTGTTGCAAGTTGAATTTGATATGGTAATGTGGGCTACATGTTTGTCAAGTGATTCACAACTTTTGTGGTGGCATTATTAGTTAGATGCAATTCAAGGAGCAATAGAACAATAAATTTTAAGTTGAAACATGTATACT